TTCAAACCATACCAAAAATTATAACTAAAATGTAAAGCCATAGAAAAATCTCCAACTCAAGGGTAACTTCTTTTATCAGTCTGTATAACCACTTTTATCAGACATCTCTTCCATGTATAAATACAAACATACAGGTTTAATTTTAAAATTTAACACTAATGTGATCATACTCAACATATGTTCTATACCTGTTTCCCCTGTTTGGACACATATCATTGACATTTTTCATGTTAATAATTAGAGAACTATGACATCATTTTTAATGGCCATGCTGTTTCCCACTGCATATTTGTTCCATAGCTTTTTTTTTTTTCCATCTCCTGTTCATGAACACTTTTTCATAATTTTGAAACATACTTGTGCATAAATCTTTTTACATTTACATGGTTTCTATCTAAGGTTAGAGCCTGGGACATGAAATTCCTGGGCTGAAGATTATAGATAATTGATATGGTGATTGATACATATGACCAACTATCCTTCTAGAAAAATTGAAGCAATTTTCATTACTCTGAAAAGGGTATGAATGTGTCCATTTTCCCATCCTTACTGAAACAAGGGTTAGAAAATTTACAAAATGTATTTGTTACTATGCTAGATCAAAAAGTGTTGATTTTATTCATATTACTTCAGTGAGGCCAAACATCATTTCATATTCATTAGACATTTGTATGTATTTTTCCTTTTGTGGATTGCCTTTTTCACTGTTTTTCTATTGCATAGTTTATTTTTTGAAAGTCCTCCCTCCCCATTTTGTAAGAGTAAGGATACAAAATAATAAGGATATGACCCTGTATATGTCTTATGGATTGTGAATATTCTCCCTAGTTGGTTTTGTATTTAAAAATTGTTTACATCAGGGAGAAGTTTTTATTTTTCATAATAAGAATTATGATTTTTTAACAACATAAAGAAGTTATTAATTTTTTACAACTTGAGAATCTTTTTTTTAAAATATGGAATATAAGACAAAATTCAAACATACATTTTGCATTACTTTGGCTCTCTTAGTATTACTTCTATTTGAATTATACCTTTAAATATAGGAACATAAATGTACGATGAATGATTTTGCTATGTCTTTTCCATTACAGATGGATTTTTCTCTGAGTTTAGGTCACCACCAAAAATTGGCTAATTTAAAATAATCTTACTTAAAATTTAGAAATTTAAAATGAGAAAAATTGTTGATCTTACTTATCAATTCACTATGAAAATTTGTATAGCATGGAATAATGTACAAAAACATTTTCACATGTTTAATTTTATCTGCTTCTCAGAATCACCCTGTGAGTTGAATACCATTATGCATATTTTAACATTTTATATATGTGAAAAATTGAAGCATTGGAAAAATGACATACAATCTTTTTCTGGGAGGAGGAGCGGAGGGGTATATACAACCACGAGTAAGATGTGCAACGTTTGGGGGATAGACATGCTTGAAGCTCTCACCAGAGCAGGAAGGAGGGCATGGGCAATATAAGTAACCTTAACACTTGTACCCCTATAATATGCTAAAATAAAAAAAAAATCTTTTTCTGACATAAAATCACAGAACTAATGTGTATGTGACATGAGCAGGATTTGAATTCAGGTCTTTGAGTGAAAATTATGTATTATTCTTATTTAATTCTCCTGCATCCTAATTTTAGTTTTTCACTGTAATAAAAATAAAAAGCAGATGCTTAATGACAAGCTTGTCCAATTGTCTATGTGAGTGACTTCTTAAAATGCAGAATATGACATGAAGATATTTTCACTATACCTACGGAAGAAATTCTATTTGACAATAAGAAGTTTGATGCATTTTGAGCACTTAGCTAGGAGAAGAATACATTAGTCACTCTGGCTTTAAAATTTTAGCCAAAGATCTCAGGAAAATTCCCTAGTCACATCTCATAGCTACAGAGAACCTGCACCATCGTGTCCCTGATGAGTTCTCCCATGGAGCTAATTACTTGGAGGAAGGAAGGAGCCAAAGATGAGCATACCCTATGGAATTTGCTCTTGCACTACACAACTTCTCCTCAAACCATCACGGTACCAGAAACTAATATTTTCCCAAAGAGGCCATATCACCTCTGATCTGATGGAAGAGACACTGTAACAGCCAACCTACAGAGGTGAAATGTAATTCATCGGCCTGTTACCAGAAGATGCATGTCCTTATCTAGGTTGTATGTCTTGATGCTGACTTAATCTTTACCTGTCAGATAGCTCCTGGCCATCTCTCCTCTCCCCTAGGACTCCTCTCTCTGATGGTGCCCAGGCAGTGGGTACCGATTTCCCAAAAGCTCCCCAAATTTAGCCTCTTTATATTCTCTTTGGATTCTTTGGGAATCTTTTCACAACAGGATTTCCACCTCATGTTCTAGCAGCTCTTTCTCCTTTGTTTTTTCCAATGGAAATTTATTTTGCTTCTTTTTCAATAACATTAACTCTAGTATAGCTTTCCTTAAGGTACTTTATGAAAGAAAAATTCTACATGACCATATCTGTTTCTGCTCTGAAAATCTTAGGGCAGAGAAGGAGACAATCAGGGGTGATGTAATTGGTGCACGACACAGATGAAATTTTGTTGTTTCCTTTTACAATCATTTAATTTTGTTAAACAGATATCAGTGTAACTTTAAGTAAGAAGCATCTGTAGTTACATTTTCCCTTGTGCTGGTCCTATCTGATGTCCATATGACATTAACTTTTATTTAATGCAAATTCCTTCCATCTTCCTATTTACAAGTGTTATATCATAATGTGCCTTTTAAAAACATTATGTAGTGTTTAATACCCAAGAGGTCATTTCTCTCCTGAGGCATCACGGTACCTGAGATGAAGAGGAATGCTCTTGAGAAAAGGGTTGCCAGATTTGGCAAATAAATATGCAGGATGTCCACTTAAACTTGAATTTCAGACAAACAACAAATAATCTGTGAGTATAAGTCAGTCCCAAATATTGCATACTTATTTATGGTATATACTTATGCTATGTATAATATCATACTGAGAATTATTTAAAATAAATAGTATCCTAAACAGTTATTGTTTACCTGAAATTCAAATTTCATTGGGTAGTTTATATTTTATCTGGCAACCCTACCTAAGACCAGTATTCGGATTCTACAGAGACCAAAGCTGGACTATGTCAGGGGAAGCAGCGTGTTTTTTAATTTTTTACATTACGTGGAGTAGAGAGGCATTCTTCACCCATTAGAAATAGCATAGGAAGGGGTGTTAGTTAAAAAATGTATATCCCTTCAGGGCTGACTCACTGTGGCACCTCAAATTCAGGGTGGATGATAAGATATATCTATTTAATAGTGTTTTATCAATCATTGCTTGGAGCTACTCATGGCTTCTTTTAGAGGCATGGATTTTAATTAATTGGTATTCTTTTGTACTTCTTCCCTGAGATAATTTTAAAAGTCTTAACTCCATACACCTAATTAGTAAATTCCTGGGTCTATTTAAACATTGACATTAAAAAAAATTTCAAGATTGCAGTAAGCTTTAATGAGATACAAGGTAATGTAAGATAAATCAAATATAATTGCCATTGAAGTCCATAAAAATAAAAATACTCCAAAGTATTAAACTGAAACATAATTCCTTCATAGCAGGATGTCTATAGATCACGTCGGAGGGTCCAACCAAGGTTAAATGTAACTAGTATTGGTTAGAGTTCGAATGAGCCATATTTTTAAAAAATCAAAATTCTACATGTCAAACTGGACATCCTACTAGATGCTAAAAGTAACCTGATTAGGAACTTAAAATATTAAGGCCAATTGGAAAAACTTTTGTTAGAGGAAGTCTATTGTCATGCATCACAGCTACACTGCCATCTACTGGCCTTAATTTTTTAGAAATAAAAATTTAAGTCCTACCCCCACCCAATTCTTCTCATTTTGCATGGTTTGGGCTTAAGGTCAGGAGAAACAGGATCTGTAATAGTTTTGCTACCATTTCCTTTAAAATTCTGTAACAGTGTGACAGATTAAAGATGTTGGCAAATTCTTTGCTTTTCTTCACATTGAGAAGTGGAGTCTAATTTTCTTCCCCTTGAGTCTGAATTGGCCTTAGTGACTTTCTTGATCAATAGAACACTGCATAAGTCACATGCTGGGAGTTTCAAGACTATTCCTTATGAAGCCTTTTGACTTTTATCCAGGCCTTTAAAAATATTTTCCCTGCTATTACGTAACTACGTGAGAAGACAACAACAATGGTGGGGAGGCCACAGGTAGGCCCTCTGGTAGACTGTTCCAGTACAACCCAACCCTCTAGCCATCTTTGTCCCCACAGACATATAAGTGAAGCTATCTTGGGCCCTCTGGCCCAGCCCACCTGGTGGCTGATTACTACCAAGGGAAGGCTATTGATGCCACGGACAATGGAAGAGCAGCCTGACAAAGCCTTTTGGGATTCCTGACTCATGAAATCCTGATATAACCCATAATAAAATGGCTGTTTTTTTTTTTAACCTACTATGTTTTGAAGTAGTTTGTTAAGCAGCAATAAATCACCAGAACAAGCAGTGATGTATTAATCTTTACACTTAAAAATAATAGAATGAGGTGAAAGAAAAGAAGGATGGGCTGATTAGAGAAGGTGAAGGGGGAGAAGTGGGAAAAAATTCTCTAAAAAAAATGTCCATAAATGCTGTGGACACCAATAAATATGAGCAAGGGATTTAGAGGAACTGCAGTGAGTTTTAAAAGTCACAGACTTACAAATTTTTCACAGGTAAACTGCTGCTATAATTTCAGGTAAACTCACAACTTTGGCTCAACTTTTTAGGCATTCAGAGAGAAAATGGCAGTAGAATTTCACTTCAAGAAGATACTGTGAACAGGGATGAATAAACATGACAAATAAATATGCTTCGATAAGAGCTAAAAGTGCTATGTAAGAGGCAATCTTTGTACCTACTAAAAATCTTACATCAGATGATTTCAAATTGGACATGTCTCAGAAGAAAGTAACATTGAAAATACAGATTTTTATTTTTTGTACTTTTATTGAAAAGGTACATTTAAAAAAATACACAGACATTTTACCATTTACAGATTGCAGATATAGATGCTCTAAAAGAGTTCTATGTTGTTGTTTTATGCTAACTCTTGCCCCTGATATCACAAACATTCCAGTCTTGTTGATATCAGCTTAGAAAGGGGGGCACGGGAGCATGACCTGCAACATATTCAGTGAACAGAAAGACAAATTGTTCAATTACAAATGTTTTATCTTCTGTACATTATTGCATTAGGGAGCCACAAAATTATGTAGCATCATTACAAATGAAAACAGGTTAAAAATGAAGAAGATAATTATGTAGAAATACATGGATTCATTGTCTTCTTGCAGAATGCACAAGAGGTGCAAAAATGTGCAATTTAGGAAGCTCTTTTTCTGTTTGTATACGTTTGCTTAGCAACTCAAACCGGTGAGGAAGCTACAAAATAAGTTAAACAAAAATAGCAAACAGGTAGTAATTATAGCTATGTTATATGGCTTTCTATTTCTTTTAAATATCTCCAAATAAAATGTGAAATAAAGAAAATACATTACTTTATCTTTTATTCTCTTAAAGAGAAAATTCAAAGCTAATTTGCTTCCTAACATTTACACAGCAACTAAAAATGTCTAATTCAGACAAGAGATACAGATCTAGTACTACACAGGATACAACAGTACTGGGTCTAAAACAGTACACAATCCCTGTCAACAATAGTACATCAAAAAGAAAACGCTGTGATCCGTTGGTAAGATGGTATCCACAAGCAAGCACTTGTGTTCATCCATTTTTGTCCCACACTAGAATATGCCCAGCTGGACTCCAGAGTTATTTACAGACATCTGAGGAAGATCCTAGTTTTCAAGTCTGTCAGGAAAATATTCCGTATTGTTGCTAAGCCAGATCACACACATGGAAAAATAGAGAATAATTTCCTTTCTTTTGCTTTCACGACCAATACATTTTCAAGAAACCCAATATCTCAGATACGCAGATTGGATGGGGCGGGGGAGGGGAGGGAATAGGAGAGAAAGCCTATGCTGCTCAGATTCCTAAACTCTAGGAGCGGTCCATAAAAGCACTCTCGAATCTAGTGATTTTTCTTTGGAATTGGGGCTTGGCGGCGGGGTAGGCTGCGTTTTGGGTGGGGCGCTGCGACACACAATGCTTCAACTGCCGAATCCTGTTGGCGTTCCTTCTCCACTTTCCTACCGGCCTCAGCCGTCGGGGGCGCTCGGCCGTCAGTACGGAGCGAAGAGGATGGAGGCGGGCGTGGCGCGGATGGGCCCGTGGCCCGGCCTCAGCAGGGCGGGCGGAATGGCTGGGGCCTGGAACAGCGAGGCCGACGGCCGCGGCGGCAGGGACAGCGCGGAGGACACGGCCGCCGCCGCCGCCAGGGGCGAGGACAGGAAGGCCGGGGCCAAAGGCTTCATCATGTCTTTCTGGAATGCAAGTTTTGCCTAAGGGAGGGAGAAAACCAGGAATGGGGTGGAGACACTGTTTCTGAGAAACGGCCACACAGACATCGCTTCCCAAGTAACACACCAACACTACCATGTCTTGCATTTTAAAAAATCTGAATTGATACTAAAGCTGTTTTATGCTGCTGCTCAGCAGGGAAAAAAAACCAAACAAATCAAGAAAGTTCCTGCTTAGGCAATGGAGCTCAATTCAAAATTCAGATTTGTCTTAAACCACGATGAGATCTAGAGTTGTTTTTTGTTGTTGTTGTTTTTTTGTTTGTTTTTTTAGACTATGCATGATCCTTCACTTCTCTTAGCTAAGGGGCACTGAGGTTAGCTACCTGGGGTTCATGTCATCAGGGACTCATCAAGAGTCAAGAAAACAAAGTCACTTTACACCTCTCTGTCTCTCTCTCTCTGGCCACTTAATGAGTATTCCTTGAAAAATCATAATTAATTCAAATTTCTGTTGTTAGGAATGATTGTAAATGGGCTGGAAAATCTCCATTTAAAGGAATTCCAGGGTGGAATCCTCCAGTGAAGAAAGAAATCAAGCCTTAATTTCTCTTTTTTGCCATCAGAAGGAGCATTGCGAGCTGGATTTGCTTACTGCAGGTAACACCTGCTTGCAGCTTCAGGCAGAGGCTTTGGAGAAGTTGGAAGGTAATCTCAGGATCACCTCCAGCTGGACAGTCCCAGCTTCATCCACAGACTGAACACTGCACTGGGCCCAGTCCCAGCGAGATGGTGAAAGCCATCCATCTGGGTATTTATATGACACCTATTGCTGGAGCCCCTAGTATTTTTTGTAAAGAAACTGAAAACAGCACATATTGGGAGCAGGTAAGACAGATTGATTACCAACTTGCCTGCTAGAATGGAGAGAGAGCACAATACAAATTTCCTGTCTCACTTTCCCACTTTCCTGTCTCACTTTCCCACTTTCCTGTCTCATACCAAAAAAAAAAAAAAAATGCTGAAAGCAAGAGGATATTAAATTAAATGGATGGATTTTTGTTTTACAAAAGCAATCCCCCTTTCCAGACTGAACACATCCCAGGATTCCTCAGGGATCACCTATCTCATCTTTATATGCTAAAGAAGGTAGTCTTTTGAAAAAGCCTTGGTAAAGAGTAAGGTATTAGTTCTCAAAGAAGTTCAGTTTCTCTTTTCTAAGGAAGTTTGCTTCAAGGTGTCCTATAGCAGCAACTAAGCAGTACATTCTAAAACTTCTGTGAGGGCTACTTTAATTCAGAATCTTTCATGACCATTAGTCCCTAGGCCATCTTTACCCATGGTGGCTGCCCAACCCAGCAAGGCCACGCCACCAAACAGGTAAGCAGGTGAGGTAAACTTACTGCTAAAATACTCGGGCTCCGCTGGAGTTTGTTGTAAGGGCTGTATTTCGGCTTCAGTGGTTTCCCAGCAACTCGATCTTTATGCCTTCGGCTAGAAATGTGCTGGAAAAAGTTTGATGCATTAGCTGAATCTAAATGTGAGTTTTATTGCATGTAAAATGTAAATCTAGGTAGACGGTTTCTCCATTTCCAACACTAGGCCCATAGTTACTAGAACGCTATGATTTCTAAATTAAGACTTGCTCTCCTCTCAATTGTAATGCCTCTCAGTCTCTAGTCTGTTTTCTATAGTCCTTATCAGATTTTGCCTGGTATTACCCTTCTTCTACTGAGTCTCTCTCCCTCACCAGATTTTAAGTCCTTGGAAGATAGGCTTAACATCTCACTTACCTTACCGGAAGCTCCTGCTCAACTGCAAGCTCCAGTGACTGTTGTGCTCATTTCTCTAACACCTGGCCTGCAACCTGACTTACTGTAAGAGTAGTTGCTCAAATATTTGCTACTGACGTTTTCTTCCACATAGCACCTGCCTATTATATATTGCATGCATCCTATAAAGCTTAGTAAATTTAACTGTGCACACAGTGAGAGCCATTTTACAGATGAGGAGATACACAGTCAAGTGGTGACCCCAAACAACAGTGTATACTAACTCAGGATACATTACCTGCTTGAGTTGAATTTCTGAATTAACATGAACATCACAAATTTCACAATGAAATGTCTTGTTCTGTAATCCTGATCCCTTACTGCCGTTCTGCATCTTTAATCTTGATCCAGGTCTAGGGTAGGATTTAATTGGACCAGCCCCATTACGAGCCTCAACCATGGTCTTGTGTTTAGATCCTATGACAGAAAGAGACATAAGTTAAAAAAACTATGGAAGAACTACACAAAGCTCTTTGTTTTCTTATCCTTGAGAAGTTTATCTTCAGGCTAGCTAAAGTTCCCAGAGCTTTTATATGACCATTTTAATGCTGATTTTAAATTTCATATATTTTCATCATAAAAAATGGAAAAAACCTAAGAGCATATAATAAAGAAAATAAATATGGAAAATACATAGAAACGTAAGAAAATAAAGATTACCCGTATTTTTACCACTCACAGGTAACCACTGTTATCGTATTTCTTTTCAGGTTCTTTATTTACTAAAAAAATATGTTTTCAAAAATGGGATCATATTAATTAAATATCCAGAAAATTTCACACAGCAAACCAAGTACATATTTTCTTATCATTATGGTTTAATGGCTAATATATTCTATCATATTGGGTTACTCTTATTTGTTCAATATTTCCCTACTGGTGGACTTTTAGGTTATTTCTACTTTTTCTCTTATAAATGTGTTGCAGAGAATATTGTGCATAAATATTTATCTACATCTCTGTCATTTCATCAAAATGAGTTTTGGAAAAGTATTAGATGCTTTTAAGGAAATAAAGAATAGAACAAGTTTTATCTCCAATCTGCTTTTGCCTTGCTATTTCCAAAGTCATATGATCGTACTTTTCCAAAATCACTCCTTTAATCAAAAAAGTAGAGAAGACATTGAACAAACCTAATGTTTGAATAACAAAAGATATAGCATTCTGATGGGAAAAGTTGGGTTTTGTTATAAACATTATTTAAATTCAAAAGAAAGCTGCTAACCTGTGTTGTGTGCCTCTAGCTGTGACAGGGAGTTCACAGCCACTTTGCATAGTGAACAGTAAAGTAATTTTTTGGCTTTTTCTTCTTCTGATTCAGCAGCAGTACTGGGAGCTCCATTTGTGCTCTTGGAGGGAGAAGTGGCTGCTCCAGGTGGCAGGGGTGTTGTGCCAGATTTGAGGAGAAACGAGCCACCTTCAGAGCTTGATGGCTGACTGGAACTGTTGGCTTTTAACTTCCCTTTATCTTCTAAGAGAGACACAGAGATCTTATTGAAGTCTTATGTATCATGTAATCACAGATAAATCACCATAAAGGAATTAAAAATAGAAATTTGATTCCTATATGGAGTTTTGACTGCAGCACAGATTTTAGTTCATAGAGCTTAAGGAACAGAACTCCATGGCATCATCTTCCATATTAGGTCACCCAAGACCACGATGACTTATGAAAAATGACTTTGTTCTCCCACTTGGAGCAGTGGGACTGCTGATATCCACGAGTTGTAAATTATGCTACAAGGAAGTCTTTATTACATAACAAAAGGAGCTACCCTCCAAAACAGTTACATGATATGATGGTAACATGAAAGAAGTCATTAGGCCATGCTACTTTCATTTGACTACTCATGTTTTAATTATGACAGAGATATAAAGTTAAAATTCAATTGTTACATTAAGTTAAAATTTTAACTTTGAATTATAGGATAGAAAGGAGGGAAGAAACACGGTTAATTTTGGTTATGAATAGTTAAGTTTTTCCTGCTCTTTGAAAGGCAATGCGATTTATCAAAAATATGAGACAAGGATTTCATTCATTATGCTTATTAATAACTGCCAATCTAAATCTGAAGTTTTAAATAATGACATTAACCATAAGTACAATATAAAGATTAGCCAAATCATTTAAAGACACCTTGGTAGTTTGATCATGTAGCTACTAAATGCTTATAATCCTTAAGGCACATGTGCAGGCTATGAGGGGTCTGAGTGACTTGAACAGAATCTAACTCCTCGAAGTTCATTTGCTATTCAAGACAGGCTCTGTTCAGTGACTCCTTTGGGAAAGAAACTAGAGCTTTGTAGGCAACAGCAAAATCCATCATGCCTTTAATCCTAGTAGAGCTGGTACTCTTAGAAAATGTCTATAGATATGCTGATTAACTCTCATTAAGAGGGAAAGGGAATTAAAACTGAGAATATATTTGCTAATTGCCTTAGCTAATTTGGAATTGTATACCATTGGCCTGAAAGACCAAGAGAGAAGGCATGACTCAGCAACAGCACTGTGGTGTTTCTGTGTGTATGTTACAGGTTTTGTATATGGCTAAACCAAAGCTTTTAGGACTCATCAAAAATTATGGGAGATCATATTTCTACTAAAACATAAAGAAAAGCCTAATTGATTTAGGGATCAGCAGTCAATTCCCATCCCTTTCCCTGAGTTGGATCCATCCAGGATAAGACTAGACATAATAAGGGTGTTAGAGAGGGATTCTAGATCTAGGTATTGTTTAGAATAAATGAATGCTGAAATCCTTTCTTATCCTTAGGTTCCACATTCTATATTCACTCTTAGCAAGTGTATTAAAACTTTAGGATGACATGAAGTATGATGGAAAAGGTCTTAGACTTTTATTAAACTGACCTCTATAGTAAGAGAGAAGGAAATAAAATCATTCTTCTCAATTGGTAATAGTAACTTTGATTGAAGAATATTCTAGGCCTGAAACTCTCTCATCTATAGGAATTTCTCAGATTGAATTTGTAATCTTACAGAACTCATAAAACACCGAATAATTCAGTAATCTTAATATTTGCCCCTTTGGAATTACTCAGTTTCTTGTTATGAAAACTTAAGTTATTGCACATCAAAATCTTTACGTGCTTCAAGCATTTCATAAGATGTTTCATATAAATTTGACCTAAAAGAATCTGACCTGAATCAGTCATTTCTTCACTCATTCTCTCTCATATTACTAATGTCCCTCATATTAATGTCCCTCAGATGCCCATACATTTATATAGAACTTTACAGTTTACAAAGTGCTATCACTTACATTACTTTATTATCTCTCACAGAAACCTTAAGAAATAGGTAAGGCTAAAAATGATCATTCCTATCTTAAAGATGAGGAAACTGAATATTATCAAAATTAAATAATGTCCCACAGATTAGAAGGGGGCATAAATGAGCATAATTTATGCTCATTTTTTTCTCTAACTGATCACTGTGTGATGCACTAATAATCTTTCAGCACAAAAGGGGGATTTGATATGTCATTAATAATATAAAAGCATAAAATGTCACTCTAGATGTGAAATAGCTATTGCATTGTTTTACAAAGTTTAATTTTTTATTTTTTTTTATTTTTGTTTTTGTTTTTAGAGATAGGGTCTCACTCTGTTGCCCAGGCTGGAGTGTAGTGGTGTGATCATAGCTTACTGCAGCCTCAAACTCCTGAGCTCAAGGAGTCCTCCTGCTTTAGCCTCCCAGCTAGTTAGGACTATAGGCATATGCCACCATGCCCAGCTAATTTTTAAAAATTTTTTGTAGAGGCAGGTTCTTGCTAAGTTGTCCAGGCTGCTATTGAACTCATGGTGCAGTTTAGTTTTAAAGCATATTTGCCTTAAATAAAATATATATCTTGTTACACAATCATCTAATTCAGGTTATATTGAGAAGATATGTAAAATTATATGTTTTTCTCTATATCCCTCTTTAAGAAAAACAGGTTTCCTTTTTATATCTTCTTTTCAAAAGAGGTGATTTGCATTAACAAGTACATATTAACAATATATTAGTTGCTAATCATGTGCTAGATACTGAAGAGAACAGTAAATAAAGTAGGATTAGAATATAAGAAAGTTATAGTTTAGGAGGAGGAATTGAGATAGTCATTCAGAGACCTCTAATTTATGAGAGAAACTGGTAGAGGCATGAAAGCATAGAGCAGAAAATGATTACTTCTACTTGGGAAGAAAGAGACATTTTTCATTAAGTAAGTAGCATTTTGAAGGTTTTGAAGGTCAAATTTAGATCAGCATAGAACAGAGGTGAAAAGGATTGGCAAGTGCATGGTTAGACATAGAAACATGAGGAGATACTTAGTTGTTAGAAATCTTGCAGTTTTCTTGGTGAATACCTGGTAGTTGAGCATACAGCTGGCAACAAATGTAATGGGAGATATTATCATAAAGTTCATTTGAGCCAGAAGGCAGAGACTATCTTAAAACTATTAAAAAAATACCAATAGCAGACATTTCCCTTTAAAAATATATTGAGAGGCATGGTGTGTTTAACATTTACATGATCTAAAATTTAGATGTTTTGATTTTTCCCCCCAGATAGGTCAGAGTCTTAATATTTGAAAATATTAAGGAAAAATTTCGACTTTGGAAATATGTAAATGGATTTACCATATTCAGGGAATTCTGTTTTGGTGTTATTACCATCTAGTCAATAAAGCAGATCCTAAAATCAGAAAAGTCACTGACATGTTTATATGTTTAAATTGTGGCATTCTTTCTGGACATATAAAATTAAAATCTTCAAAGCCTTTTATTATTTCTCATCTTAACTGCTTGACATTTTTATAAAATCCATTACATTATTTCTCTTTCCTTACTGCCATTGTTTTAAGCCTTCTTATTTTGTGTGTTTGAAAGTTTAATTAATGTACTGTTTACTTCTGTTTCTTTTAATAAAGATGCATGTCATCTGGAACTTCTGGTTAATACGAATTCCATTTTCAAGTATTCCCTCACCTAATGTTAATTAGCAGGTCTTCTGACTGTCTTAATTATTTCCTGATTACTCAAACACCTTTTTTAAGGTTTTATCCTCCAGGATTTTGAAGCAAAATTTGCTTAGCTACATCAGAATTGCCCTTTGTAACAAATATCCATAATTTATGCATCCAAGTGAGTTTATTTCTTCAAAATAGCCTCCTTCAGAAGTTCTACATTGATTCACTTATTTTCCAAAGCTCCAAACATTTGGAAACTTTTCTTGTTGGGACTGCTCTCATACCCAGTTGATAAACCATATAAAGAAAATCAGTCTTCAGAATTTGTCAGCTTTATTTTTTACTCCAAAAATTTCACTCAAATTAATCTACCTTATTCATCAAATTTAACAATATATTGCTCAAAAACAGCCTCAGAGGACTACTATGCTAGCACAGAAGATAAAAGAATATGCCAGAAGTTCTAAAAACCAGTTTTAAGAAACTAATACTGTTGGTATATGGAAGAATCATGTCTACATATAGGTCTTCATTTGAAAAACAATCAAAATAATATTCTACCTACAATGTAGGTCTTATATTATGAATTAGGACTTTGGAAGCTATAATCAAATTTTTGTTATTCTATTTGTAAGATTTACTTTTGAGTTTAATTTTAAAGTAATGAGATTTTTTTCCAATCAGGTTTCAGTGGTTTAATAACAGATACATATTTTATATAATTTAGGCTCACTGTAGAAAATTTTCAAAATGAAGTCAGACAAATATTTTAAAAAATTAAAATCACCCATAATTCCATCATCTAGAATAACAGTTGGTAAACTTTCTCTATACAGCACCAGATGACACATATATTAGGCTTTGCAGGCTATACCATCTCTGTTGCAACTACTCAATTCTGCTTTGTAGCAGTAAAGCAGCCACTGACATGGCCGTGCTCCAATAGGACTCTATTTATAAAAATAGGTGGCAGGCAAGATTTAGCTCATAGGCAGTAGTTTACTGATCCTTGATCTAGCATGATTATGTTTTCGTATACATTGCTCCATACTATTTTTTACACAATAGTAAACAGGAATATATAAAAACATATTATTCTATAACTAACATTTTTCACTTAGGAATAAATCAAGAATATCTTTCCATGTCAATAAATGTAGAATTGGATTGTGATTTATGACACCAAATGATATTTACTTATATGGATGTACTATATTCAAATAATCTTTTGATATATGGGTTATTTCTGGTTTGCACTTTTATTAATAGTAAAAGGATATTCAATGGAGCTTCTGTTGTCTCAATGAATGATACAACTGAGAACTGATAGCAATTGGTATTAAGTATTACAGAATGCTAGAGAAAGTCCTCCAGGAGCCCCCAGACACATTCTTGTTAAATTTATATGAGGTAGTAGAACTGTAACTAATACCCTATTACCCACCTGTCCAGTCTATATAACAATAGTCTGAGGATTGGACAGCTCACTGGAGCCATGAGT